AARAGWSTGGCATCATCCTCTTAGCACCTATATTTATGTATTTTGYGGACAGGCCTTTTGAGCACGGAGGACAGAGGACGGTTGGAACGCTGCCCTGTGACAGGAACCTCGTGTAACATTGTGTGTCATCTGCCGTCTGTAACTGAGCTAAGTCAGACGCCTAGGGAGCTTGAGACGAATGCCTTTACTTGTTCAGTGCTCCAGGCTGGCTGGCAAAGTGGGATTCTCTGGTGAAATGTATGTTTTAGGAATAAAGAGGTAATATCAAACTAAAAAAAAATCCCTGAGTATTACCAGAGTATTACAGACAAGATCCCCTGACTGTTGATGATTAGTCCTATATCCTTTGCTGTCTCTTACACACACTTTAGAATCCCAAAGCAGATTATTTGTCTGCTAGGAAACAGCAAAGCAGCAAACTTCTTTTTCTTGTAAGTTGTAGCTGTTGTCACAAGAGTATTTTTACACTGATCTTAATTTTAATTTTTTATGATTGTAAAAAAACATGCTGTTTTATGTTGAGATATTTATATGTTAAAGTATTTCTTGTTCCATTTTCAGAGGAAACTTTAAAACAAAGTTYTAGAAGACAAGATTCTGCTTGCTATCGAGGTAAAAAAAGAACCTTATAGCCAAGATCTTGAAGTGCAGTGTAACATCACTGTAGTTTCGTTTTTAGAACAAACTGAAAACTCATTTTGGAAGATTTAAAAGGGTTGTGAGTGGATTTTTTTTAAATGAATGGGAGGAAAACTATAAGTAAAATCACTTTTGCAGGCCAATGAATTGCTCARTATTAGCACCTGTTGCTTTTAAATTAATGATGCTGTTCTATTTTTATAGTRAGTTTATGTGAATTAAGGAAAAATATAAATGCTTGCAACAATCTGGGATATAACTGATAAGAAAATATGTCCTGATTTCATTAAATATATTAAGGTATCTCTGAAATTAAAATTGGTTTCTAGTCTTTGAATAACCATTTTAATCCAAAACAGCATTCAGGGGATTATTTTTTGATCTGACACTTCCTTTTTCCTGTACAGACTCTTTTTATTAAAATACTGAATATTCATTTTAAATGGCAAAAAAATTAARGCTGGAATAATACCCCAGATTTTTCCATGTATTTGGATCTTTTCTGCTTACAAAATATTTTRATCATGAGCTGTGGAAAGGATTTTGTGGAAACTCTTAAAAAAATTGGATATCCAAAGGCTGATGAGCTTAATGGAGAAGATTTTGACTGGATGTTTGAGTCTTCAGAAGACAAATCATTTCTGGAGTGGTTTTGTGGAAACATAAATGAGCAGCATGTGGTATCTGAAAAAGAACTGCAAGATTTTAATAATCTCGGGTGTGATAAGCCTGTGTTGGAAGGAAAAGCACTGGATGAAGTCTTTAAAACCTTAGAGCCCATGGGCTCGAAGAGGAGCCAAGAGGAGGACARGGAAGAAGAGGAAGAWGTGAAGAAATTAGAGGAGGAGATTCAAACCCTTCAGAAGTTAAAAAACCTTCAAATTCATCGGCACAATAAGCTTGAGCTGATGGTTGCTACAAACAGYCACGTATTACAGACATTCCAGAGCAGAGAGGAAGAAGCACATAAGGATTGGAGAGAAGGACTAGAAATGTTCACTTCAGCAAATAATAAGCTTGACAATGAACTGCAGTCTCTTATARCTGCAGTGAAGAAATTTTCCTCTTTCTTTACTGCTTCAGATTCAGAACAGGGTTCGGATGCACATCCAGTGTTTTTTTCCCAACTTCCTTTGGACAAATATTTATCTCTGGAAGAACAAAACACTGCAGCACTTACGTCACACATAGAAAAGCATTTTTGTAAGGGTATGTCTGAATGTGCTGGAAGTTCACGTGAAGGTAGCTTTCAACTTGATGATTTCATCAAGCAAGTCACTTTTGATGARACTAATGAAGTTTGTGAAGTGAGGCAAGAGATAGCCAGGCTCCAGGCTGCATATATTTGTGTTCAAAACCAGCTAATTCAACTGCAAGCTCAAGAGGAGGGCATGAATTCAGCTATCAAGTGTGCAGAGAGCCTGCTGCAGTCCTTGGACAAGGTAAGGCACAAAAGGTGATAGAAGGAAGTGTTGTTTTAAACAGACAAGCATGTTCCACTGGATCTAGTGGAAGGAATTGCTGAGTTATTGTTATTTCAATTATTTGTATGTAGTGAAATTGTATAAAGTTTTTATTTTGCTAAAAAAACTGCTCTTGTGAAATAGCTTYAGTTTCCATAGTTAGAAATTCTTCAGTGTGGCTTTGTACCTTTAATTCTTTAGGGTTACAACCAGTAAAATCCTAGAACTTATAGTACCTTTCTAGTTTAGTTTAACTTTGAGTTTTCAAATTGGAACTGGCTCTTTGTACAATAACAAAATCTTAGCTTTGGTTGTAATTTTGTGGTATTGAGGAGGCAATATGATAAATGTATTCCTGTTTATATTGCATAGCATAAGCTTAAAAAGCTTAGTTCACTGACTCTTGAAACTCAAATATTTGTACCAAAAAAATGAATCTATTAGTTGAAACCCCAGAAGTCTCTCAACAAGTGAGTGACAGGCATAGGTGGCTAGTGGAATTTGTAAAGAAATCATAATGAAAGGAAAGGTATTTGCTTTTGCCAGTTGTGGAATGACTTGAGGCGTCATGTCAGTTTGTATATTTTCATTTATGGATGACTAGTATATAAGACTTGATTGATTAGAGTAATTTGAAAAAGATTGATTCTGCCAGCAGTGTTAATTGTCCAGCTGAATACAAAAAATTACGTTTGCATGTGAGATTTCAGTTAGACATGCTTGAAATACAGGTGCTGGGTAGAATCCGCTCTTTTATTTTGAACACAATAAACTGTTTCCTGACCCTGTGATAGAAAGTAATTACTTTTTACTGAAATATATTTATTATCTACTTTGTTCATCTGTRTTTGCATTATGTTGTAAAATTTTGTAAAACTACTTGTGGAGTTTTCGTTTAATTTTGTGGATAAATGTAACATAAACACATGAATCTTGTAYGAGCTGAAGAAATTTTTGGGAAGTGGCTTGGAGGGAACCATGAAGAAATTGACAGATATTTTGTTTTATGCAGGATATTGGACAACAAGAAAACATTGATGCTGAAGTATCTAGTTCAAGTGATGAAATTTCAACAATGAAACAAAATATAGCTCAGATAAATAATGAAGAGCTKCTTCCACTTCTTAAGAAGAATGCACAACTTTTGACTGCACCATTGGTGAAAGAATACTTAGCCCACCAAATTGTTCGGCAGGACTGTTAYGCAGCAATACAAGATAAAATAGGCAGGCATTTGATAAGACAGAAAGCATCATATGAACTTATACAGCTGGCCTATGAACTGGAGATGAAGAAACATCAGGAGATCAGCTGTCAACTTGAGAATTTGGTAGAATCTCTGAAACAGAGCACTGATGAGTTGCAGCAGAGACTACAGGTGATAGCTGAAAGAACTCAACATGCAAAGCCAAAACCCACTATTAGTTCAGAGGATAGTTTCTCTTGCAGGTAAGTACTATAGTCACTACTGAACTTTAGACTTGCTTTGAAATCATATTGGGGAGATGAAGGCTCAGGCAAACTATGCCTTGCCTGCTGCTWAGTTCTTACTTGCTGTAGCTAATTAGAATATTGAATTTTTAAGAGCTGAAGCCTTCAAGGTGTGAARCTTGTTTCTTCCTTGTCCTTTGAAATTCTTTTCAGGTTTGCCTGAGGAAAGACTGYTCAGTCTTTTTAATATTGCTGAAGCATTCCTAATTAATATCTGTGACATCATGAATATTTAAACCTAAACCTGTCTTATCTAGGACCTCCTGAAAGTTATTCTGAAGGTRTAGTTGTTAATAGCAGTGATTTCCCAGGTTGTATGCATGGCCTCATCAGCTGAGCCAACAAAAAACCCCCGTGTGGTAGGAGAGAGGAACGACTTCTTCAAACTGAGAAATTTCTTCATCTTGTTTTTACTGCTTGATTTGCCATCTGGCTGGGGTGTCCTGCCATCCGTGGAGTCTGGTTTTTCACCGTCTGTGTAATTAAGTCTCCTTGTAGTTCAGGTGATAGAGTTAGGGATGTKTGCTGTGCTGCACTTCCATCAAGACTAAATCTTTTGGTGAGGTTTATTGTATAGGTSTGTTACTGTGAGACTTTTCCTTCTTTAGAATGGTATTTTAAATTTTTGGTTGTTTGAGTAATTGCTAAGTGATAGCTGAATATGGTTTGGCACAGTGAATAACTGCAAGAATTAGGCTGCATTAATTTTATTCCTGTTSTGTGTTTGTGTCAACTTGTTAACTTGCTATGTTTTTGTTCAGGTATATTATGAAGTCTCCAAATCACTGAATGTTTCTGGCTACTTTTTCACTTTGAAAGACATTCAGTTACTTCTTAAATATAGCTTCTGCTCTTAATAAGGCCAGTCTAATTTTATATTAGAACTCCTAACTCCTGAAGATTTAGTTATCCAGAGGTGGTAGTAACATTTGAACAAAGTTGTCCGTAATATTATTAGCCTGTTCCTGATGCAGTGTAAGGGTACAGTTTGCTATAGTGTCTAATGCTGTCTTTTGCATGACTTGTAACTAATTGGAGAATTTCCTAGCAGTCTCTTCATAGGTAGAAAACAGGAAATACCTCAGTGAGCTTGAAAATGTTACAAACCTTGTTCTTATTTCTCATTGGCCATTGACATCTTCTTTTTTTCAGCACTTGAAAAAAAATCTGTTTCATTTTGCAGTCCTTGAAGTGTCAGGAAATAGCTGGCAAAAGCACACTGTCAGCTTCTGTTTGCATTCATGATATACTTACTAACTGTTACTTTTGTATTTGATTGCTTCTAATAAAATATTGAAATATTTTGGATTCCTATTAATCGCTGGCTACATAAAGATGGAATCCTGAAATCAGTGACAGATACAGTATAGTGTAGTAAAAGTGCCCTCAGCCGTACTTACCTTACTCGTCCTCTGACTTYTCAACRCAGCTATCTTCTCTTAACTAATGATGTACTTAGGAAACTTCAAAGTGTGTGTCTGACTTCACTTGTTACAGGCTATAYCAGCTCCTGGAAGGAGGAAATAAAAAACAGCAACTCTTTAAAACATACAAAAGCCTGGAGCARATGGCTCAGAAGTTAAAGCAGGACTGTGCTACAGTACAAGATCAGCTGGCAGCATCTGCTCAAGAACAGTCTCTCCTTTTGTCCAAYCTAGAAAGGAATGTGGATGCCCTTCATGGTGCTGTCTATTGTGGAGCAAATCAGATACGGCTCCGAAGTTCGGTAAGTCTGAATCGATTTTTTTTAATTACTTCACTGTGTATCGTGTTGTTTTACTGATGAAAGTGTAGTGTAAAGGCTGTAGACACACAAACTGTCCCCACTTACCAGCAACAAACTCATTAGCATAATGAAGATGGATGCTGTATATATGCTGTTTGCAAATGTTGGATTTTTGTAAATGCTGGCAGTTAGCAATTTTTTGTTTCTGAGCCAACAATTGCATCTAACTGAATTTCTTTCAAAGACATGTGTAGTCCTATATTCCTGTAAGCTTGTGGYGTGGGAAATACATTGTCTAGGTAGGGTGTCGCTGGAAAACGCATTCAAGTTGCTCTTCATTTCAAATGTACTTTCTCCCCTGTTATCTCGAAGACTCAAAGAGTATGGTTTAGCCCCTTAAAAACTTAGCCAGGGGTGGATAAAATAAAAACACCGTAATTTTGAAGGGCAGTTGTAGTAGGACAGTCCTGCTAGACAGCTCTCAGCTGTTGCATTTAGAACATCTTATAAATGGGAACAGGGTTTGTTAAATGCACATTGTTACGGTTTTTAAGTCATTGTAGATACCTCAAAAATGCATCAAGGGAAATCTGTTACATAATACTTCCTTGGTTAATTACATAAAAATATATTTAACATTCATCTGTCAAGTGAATTTACAACATATAGAACAGTTTTAATTAAAAAATTAGACACTGTAATTGGAATAGTATGTATTCAGGGATTGCACATGATTAAGTCAAATACCTTCCTATTGATTCAAGTTACTTCTTAAAATATGACATGATGTTTTACTGCTACTGTTTCTCAAGAAAAGTAATTCATAAGGAAATAATATGCAAGTAGATGATTAATCTGCTTATACTGAACTACCATAAAAATGCCAATTGGGAATGTTGTAGCTGGTAATTAATGATTTAATTGTAAAATTGATTTGGCTTTTTTTTTGTGGGTTTTTTTTTTTTNTTTTTTTTGTTTGTTTGTTGGTTCCCTTTTAAGATTTGAAGCTTTTTTTTTGTTTGTTTGTTGGTTCCCTTTTAAGATTTGAAGCTATGAAGACTTGTAATTGATTKAAAATGTCATTCACTTATCTGTCTAGGTCAGGGCCAGATTCTTACGGTCTTAACTCAGCTGGTCAACAAGTAAATGAAATTATATTTGCATAACCTGATGTGAGTTCTGTAACATGGAGCTCAAAAATTACATAAATTGAATGGAATCCCTTATTATTTCTGTTTMTTTTTTTTGTGATTACTTTTCAGTTACAAGTAAGTGGCTTCCCAAAGCAAAAAAACTTCTATATTTCTAGCTCAGTTAGTGTATTAACAATATAAAAGTAATATTTTTTTTTTGTATTTTTATTAGGAACTTACTGAGCAGTTTCATGAACTGGAAGTGGATTTAGATAAACTAAATCATCTCCTTATGGATCTGGTTGCTGATCTGAAGTCGAAGAGAAGCTTTTTAGAGTCCAATAAGCTGCATCAGATGGAAAGAGACTTGTATGTGTATTTTTTCACGGATGAAGATCACTTGAAAGAGATGGTGGAGAAGCTTGAGCAACAGTCTCAGGCTAAAGCCAGTGGTCTGGAAGATGAGAATTCAACAACCAGTGGAGTTCTTAATGTCTAAACAGCAGGGTACCCTTAAGAAAGGAAAATGTTAATGTAATCTGTCTACGAGTTTATAGAATAATAAGCATTAGCTTGTCAAGGCTGACACTTAACTGTCACTGCAGTGAATCTGAAGTGCCTCTGTTACCAGTTGGCATTGTGTGCTGCTTCATGGCTTCTGCCTGCAGAGTTCAATCTCAGTTTTGTCAGAACTTTTGGATATGAAGTAATTGTTGGTTATTTGAAAGAACTATGTTCAGGCTGCTCTTCTGCTAGCCTGTGTGTTCATTTCTGCTGCACACATAGCGTCAAAAAGGACAAGTGTCGTAACTTAACTTGAGGGTATCTTGCATRCTAAGAACTTTTGATTGAACTGCAAAATAAATATGGGGGATGCATTCCAGATTTTGGAACATAAATGTAGTATGCTTGTAGTGAAGAGGAGAGTTCTCCAAGGCAGATATACCATGATTGTTTCCCTTACAGTTCTCCTGAGAAGACTTGGTTTTGTTAAAACTGTGTTGGAATATGTACCAGAATCTGCCTTAACTACCAAGACCATCTGTTTTAAGACCGTTCCAACATCTCTTAATTTAACTTATGGCTTATGTTCTCCATTGAAASCAGTCCATACTTATACTGGGCCTGTCAATGAAAAAGAATTTCAGATTTATCTTTTGTACTTCTGAGTTTGCCCTGTAATTTATAATGATAGGCATTTCAGTTCAGAGTGCTGATGCTTTCATACTTCTGCTTTCATGTGCATTGTTAGCCTGTTTATCAAATATTTGTATAGCTTCCTAATATTCCAATGGAACTAAATAGGCTTTTAGAGTATGATAAATTCCAGTCTTTTATATTTTGATGGGATCAGCTGTGCTTGCTTTCAAGCATTGTACATATTGATGAAGGGTAGTATATTAGCTTTAAATTCAGTAACAGTAGTCTTAAAACTATTTTGATAGCAGACTTTTAACTTTTATATGATTATAACTTATTTTGAAATGTGTAATTTTTTTTTAGCTTACTGGTTGGGTGTCTTTATGTCTGGATTTCATGCTGCTTAACTCTATACTTCGTGTTTATTATTAAATGCCAAATTCTATCAATTCAGTTCAGTGTGGTTAATATTTATGGTGAATCTGTTTTTCTAGGCCTGTTCTCAGGCATGGTGTCTTGTTTATATTTAGTCTGATGGGCTCTCGTTTTGATCTGCCCCTGAGGCTGTGACTGCTGCTTCCCAGCCTGAGAAGTCAGGGAGCACTTTAACCCTGTTCAGGAAAGAAGTGTTGCTCTTAATTATGGTAGTTAGGAGGAGTTGTGTGTGGGGAAGGATTGTATTTCTGACTCCTGGAATGTCAGGGAAAAGTAAGCCATTCCACCTCTCTCCCTTTCCTTCACATGCTTGCTAATTAGAGCTAGATGGATATAGCTAGTACTAATGCAGTATGATGTATGTTCCTCTTTGAATTGTATGCAACTGTTTGCACTTGTAAGTATTGAAAGTTACAATGTATCTGTGCTCTTGAGCCAAGAGAAATATTTCCGTGTAGGCAGAGGAACTGTTGTTTGCAAATGGTTAAATTTGACAGTCTGCTCATGCACTGGATTTAGTGGGAGAAGACCAGAGTAACAGGATTCCAGTTACTAACTTGTGTAGGAATAATTGAACAAACAGCAGGTTTTGGTAGAGTGATTGACTTGTACAGCTTGGATCTTCTAAGTATTTTTAAAATGTTGGATATTTCTCTTGTGTTTGTGTCAAGTTTTTATTTTTTCTGGGCTAACTATGAAACAACAAATAATAAGATTTGACTCCGTTACTTGTGATTCTCCAATGTGTGTTGTACCTAAGAATTGTCCAAGTATTTTGTATATATTACAGAATATGGACAGATCAACTGGAAAACCGACTGCTTTTCAGRAAAGGATAACATTTAGAACAGCAGTAGCTGGGGTCAAAGCTTGTAGAGACTATCGATGTTGCTGACCAGTTTCTTAAATTGACAAATTATAGTAGCTGTTTTCATGTTACCAATATGTAACAGTATTTAAATGCATCAATTATACAAAATTTAAGAAAATAGAGAAATTTAAGAAAATGCAAGTATTTTCTGAAACAGCACATAACTAATGGCTGTATATTGTGGTAGAARAGATTGTTTCTTTGCTCTTGTGTTGGCTTAATTTTGGCAATTACTTGAAAGTTAATTGTATTTTTCCTAATAAAATCTGAGCACTAGTAACWCTAAATATATGCATGTGCTAGGTACAGACTAGTTTAAAGATTTTGGGAGGAGCAAAGAATCTCATACAAAATGTATGTCTCAGACATGCGTCTTGTTTTATTTGTCAATTTTTTTTGTTTTAGTACAATTTAGCTGCACTTAAGACTGCTGATTTTTTAATCAGTGTATTAAAACACTATTTCAGAAATGGTAATTTTTACAAATTATTATATTTTTATTTTCAGTACAGTACTGATAGGCATGTCTGGGAGGAAATGTTATTTTCTGTTGAGAATTAATGGCTGAACACGTTCACTGTATTTTGTCTTTAATTTCAACAGAATATAGCTGGGGGTTGCTTGTAGCCCTGATTAATTAATTAATAATTATTAATAATCATTTGTATGTTCTGTGTTTAGGTTWAATGTTACAAATGGAACGGTACACGTCATACATAGGATGTGAGATTTCTAAGGTGCCTTTATCTGATGTTGCTCAGAGGATTATGACAGCTTTGCAGTCTATTCCTGTAGAAGTTCAGAATAACAGAGAAAATAACCAGAGTGAGTAAATTTTAGCCTACTTGAGTTTTTCAGTTGGAAAATAGAAACACAAACAACAATATCAAACCTCTAGTCCCTGTTTTTAAATAGAGGAAAMGGTGAGAGTTTAGGTTTACAGGTTTAGAAGAGGAATTAAGCTGTGCCTGTGACATTCGCTGGGATTTTTCCAATTAAATGATGTTATGTGAGCACGAGGAGCAGGTACCCCCAATTTAACATCTTTTTTCTTTCTGTTCCTGCTGTGTGATGCATCAGTATATGAGAATTTGAAACTATTACTTAAGTAATACTATTCTAGGTAATAAATTAGATATGTACATTAACTTGACTCTGGAYTAGATATTTAAAGATCACTGGAGGTCCATGGAACTTATCAGGTGACCTATGGACTCTCCAGACTCACATCTGTCCTTAAAACACGTGTTCATTAGTACTGTGCTCCCTTGAAATTCTAGGGGGAAGAGTGAACAAAAGTCCCATTGAAAGTGCAAATTAGGTAATATTAAAAGTGCCTCAGCASATTTAGAACATTGTGGATACTAGGGAGGTTTTTGAAAGGTGCAGTTTTTAGTCCCAGTTCTGTGCGAGCCATAGTCTCTGCCATCTTGTAGCTCTGGAAGGAAGTAGAGAGAAAGTTAATGAGAGTTTTGCCTAATTTAAGTTTTCTGTTTTTTCCTGAGAACTAGATCCTGGAATATTATCTGATTGATGGTTTTAACATTGATTCTTGTGTACATCATGTAGCCTGTGTTTCATATAAATTGTGGTTCAGGCTCCTCTTTCAATAAATTATTGGATCAGTGGGGCCTGGTGGTATAGTAGTGACAAAAATAGTACTTAATAGCTCTATAAATCAGTAATACGTGTTTGAAGAAATATGGGATGAGTAAATTTTAAAAAGTTACATTGTACATGGTGCATTGGATCAAAACCCAGGTGATTTTAAAGAATTTTAAAGAAATTCTCTTTTTAACCTGTTTATCTGATATTTTACTTCTCTTGCGCGCACACACACACACACGTATAAATGTAGATGTACATAGCTTTAGGGTGGGTCTGTAAAGAAGAAGTTTGCCTCCCTTAAAAAATCAAAAACAACTGCAAACCTCTCATCTTGGTCTTTTTTAGACTGTATTGAACTGTACTTTATAGATAGATTTTTAAATTTTAAATACTACTTAATGGAAAAACTGTCTTCAGAAGGTAAATATTKGGCTCAAATACAACAAATATCTGCAATGTTGACCTAGTTGGTGAAATTCTGTTGTTATCCTGGCAGTGGAGCTGTAATATTTCCATCARGCATTGAGGGGCTGGAAGGCAAGGACAGGTTTCTGCTGCCATCTCGTGGTACTTTATAATAATTCAGAAATGGGACTTTGCAGATCTCTTCAATACCTGTCATACTGATTATTGTGTGCTGGAGGAGAGAAATGTAATCCTCATCATCTGCTCTGGGGGGTGGGTTTGTCAAGAATAAGTATCTAGCCGTGGAACAATAGCAGTGAATGTAAACTCATCATTCTTAATTTATAATCTTGTAGAAATTGTCAAGAAAACCAAACTTAAAATGTTTGATGCTACAAATAYAGCTGTGCCATATTTGCTATTCTAACAACTCGGTTTAGAAGTTTGAGCTGGATCTAAATGTCKGATTATACACTTACAACATGTAGAAATAAGCTTAGTTTCTTTCATAGATTAAACAAGTTAGTCTTTGAAATTGCTTTTTTTTTATTTTTATTTGGGTTTTAAGTACAGGGTCTTGATTTGCTCAGAGAAGTTTTTTTCAAACAGGTCTATTAAATAGAAATAGATCACCTTATGCTTTGTTTGGTATTCGTCAACACTGTTTGATTCTGAAAGTGCCTTGCTKCTGGTAATGCAAATTAGTAGCTCACAACAGCAGTTTAGTGTTTTACTCAGTATTGGGGGACAAAATACATGATGTGTCTTTTGACTGGGCGGTAAGATAACGTAGAGATAAAGGAATCCTAATTAATTGCAGACTCTGGAGYGACCTGTGCTTTAGGGGAGTTCCCTTTTTCCCTGTTCCTGTTTCTGTACCTACTGAGATTGTAATTGCTGCTATCCTGTTATCCTGGCTCCTTCTTTCCAGTGTTCACTTGCTTCTCGGGACTTCTGGGCAATATTAAGGCAGAAAAKAAATGCTTATCCTCATGGTTTCACTTGCCTTGGAGTCCTGAGGTGCATTTACACAACTTTCTTGGTAACTGCAGCATCTGTCTGCTTTCAGAACCATGGGCTAAAGATTTCTGGCAGTTCAGTGGAGGCCCAGACTCACAGCTGCACTGTGCTCTGTGTCAGACCCAGCACTGATGGCAGTCCTGCTTCTTGTGGGACTGGTGTCACCTTACCTTTCTATCAGTTTGTCAGGCCTGAAGTCCTGCTCTCTCTTACCTGGTCTTAAAATRCCTGCTCTATTGCAGGATGAACAATGTGAAAAACTTATCCCCTTCAGGTGAAACGTGGTCACTTGTTTGTGAGATGTGATATGCTAAACTCAAATACAAATAGTTCTTTACAGAACAGAAGTTTTGTTAATACTACTGCTGAATTCCAAGGAAAGAATTAAACTGTGTAAAGTTTCTAGAGTCTGGATTTTCTTTTTCRTTTTCCTTCATGCTCATGCCCTCAGTTTTACTATGACCAAAATGAGTTATTGAAAGAGGGAAATACACTTATTTCTGGCATTATAGTAATGCTTCCTCTGAACATTGTGGAAAATGTTTTTCTGCTTTGTAGCAAATTTAAAGTAATTTTTTCTTAATGGTTATAGAACAAGCTTTTACATATGCATATTTTGGAATCTGCAGGAGCCTTTTAAGCATGAATTATACTTAACATTATATACTTATACATTAATAAAATGGTTGTCGAGGGAAAGATTTTTTACAATTCTTTTAGGTATGGTAAAAATGTCAATAATATAATCCTGTATGTAACCTAAGTTATATGGGCTGCAGATTCAATCATCTTGTAAATGGTTTCTTCTTTTTTAAAGGTGTAGAGAAGCCAAAGGAAAATAAACTAGGTGATGAGGATGCGCATCTGAGAAATGAAAAGGCAAGCATTTTGTAAGATTGAAAACCACTAAAAGCAGTCTTTTTGTAGCAGGTTTGATGTTATAGACATTCTTTTATAACAAGCTTTATTACAATATATTTTATACAGTCATACTTCAGATAATTTCATGTCTTATTTTATRCTTGGCCTCTATTTACCTATGAGAGTCTTGGTTCCACTTCTGTTCCCTTTCACAGGAAATTGATCTTTTATGATAGATTGATCAGAAATGAGGGTGCCACATTCAGTCATCAGGATTTAGAAATTATTTTAGACTTCTGTCACTGAACAATCACTAGTACATAATCATAAAGTGAGCTGATTCATTTTAAAAATTACTTTCTATTAGGGAGTTTAATTTTGGGTTTTATCATCTCTGGATTTGGTTTGATGTGCATGTGAGTGAGTGCCTGTGCAAGAGTAGGAACAGGTAACTGGCAGCCCCAGCTCAGGCTGTGACTGTAAAATCCATCAAGTTGATCGATGAGTTGCAGATACTGCAACTGATCCCAGCTGCAAATTTCACAGCCTTCCTTACTCTGATTCTGGTGCATGTTACACACTTCAAGTCCATTCAGGTTGCTCAAAATGCAGAAAATYGATATATTATGTGGAGTGGGATAGTTTCCTACAAACTACACTGGCTTACAGATGCTCATACAGCTGTAGGTGCAAATGGATAGCAGTGGAAACCYTTTTTATAATGATGAGACACTAATTTTGACTCACTGCATCTAATGAAATCTTCCTGCCTTTACATAAATTATGAAACTACATCCTGGGAGTCATTTTCTCTACTTCCAGCCATGTCATTATTTCTAATATAAGATCAGTTCTTCAAGGAAGCTGCTGTTTCTCTCTGTGGTTAATTGTAGTTCCAGTTGTATTATTCTGACTTGATAATTAAATTGCTTTGTTCTTACTTTTTGAACCTTTAAAAAAGAATTGCTTATTCCTCGTTCTATAATTACTAGAGTATCCTAATTCAAATTCTTCTGTGTTAAATGATAAAACTGTTTGCAGTTTGACTGGAGAATGCACTTAAGTGAATTAGTTGTCTTTCCATGGATATTAAACATTTGGCCCTTCTGTGATACTCCTTTTCCCCTTCTGGTAACTTTATAGTGCCCACCTTTTGATTAGCATTGCATAAGTCCAGATAATTTGTCTTCATTTAGAACAGCCAGTATCGTTTTGGTAGTAGCAGAAAATTAATTAATTTCCTTTTTCTATTTACTTAGAACCTGGTAATTGGACTTGTGCTGTAGAGCTGATCTTGTGAAGTTTGATCTAAAGCAGTCTTAAGCCTTTTTCATCTTTGACTCCACAGTTCTAAAGTTTGGGGATACGGGAGCTGGGTTGAGGAATGTTGTGAAACCATAAAAAGGCCCCAAACTTTCTGCCTTTGTCATTCTGGCTTGCTCAATTGATRCAGATGGCATGGAGATGGACAGTACCCTTTGATCAGTGAAAACTGTCATCCTGGGGATGGAGGAAGCCCTGCACAGCAGGAATTTGTGCTTCTTTTGAAGTGAGGAGGCCTTAGTTTTTGCAATTATGTTGACMGCAGAAGTACTGGATGAGATTGAGCTAGAAGAGCCAAAAATACAGTAATTTTGAGACACTTAAATTACTTTGCACTGGAGTGGGTGAATGTTAAGCTCATGCATGATGCTGCAGCTGCAAATTGGGAGACAATTGCTTTGTGGAATAGAGAACTCACGAGAGAAATTTTTATTTGATTCTGTGCGCAATCAGATACAAAATCATCCTTCTGAAAGGTGCTCTGACAGTAGGACCATAATCTTTCTGAAGCATTGAAAGATAGGTAAGACAGCAATGCTTAATTTTCAAGAAGAAAACTATGTGAAATTGAAGAAGCTTTAAAAAGAAGATACATACAATTGCCCTCCAAACCCAGAACATTTGTAGGCAGTACAGGGATTTACTCAAAGCARAATATTGAAGATTTCAAATTAATACTAAATTCTGTCTGGAAAAGTAGTATGGCTAAGAGACAATATGATGGAGACTACTAAAAATGTCATAATGCAAAAATGTGAACTTAGTAGAGTTTGTATTATTCTATACTTGCCTCATTTGACTAAGTTAAATGAAATATACAATGGTATAGTTCAAGTGAACTTTGAGGAACAGCTTGCAAATGCATCTTTAATACATATTTTTTTCAAATGGCTCAGGAGTAGAAGGCTTGCCAGCTTCTCTAAGGCCTATTGGTAATTGAGGCATAAAAAGTATTGAGGGAAGATTCAAATCTATATATCTGTAGATAGTTAAATACACATTTTCCTTGGGGAATCTTGGAAAGGTCACTGATTGCCATTCCAGAGTCCTTGTTCATGAAATCACGACAGAGGAATCTATCTCAGCTGAAGAGTTTGTAGAAGCTAGCAAAATAAATAGTAACAAAGTACTAGGGCCAGTAGCATACCAAGGAAATTTCTGAAGGAAATTAGAAAGAAGGAGTGGAGTCAAAACATTACCATGTAGCATCTTGCTTAATGCTGTTGAGTAGCATGCTGGTGTAAAGGGAACCAGGGACTACCTGGAGTAGTAAAACTGTTCTGAGTAGAGTGGATTAAATGGAATAGAATATAATACTTAGTCATACAGCTGATAATACTTCTTCAATGCAATTTTGTTATGTATTTTTGTTATGTCTTACAGTCCTGTAAGTTGCTTGAAGGGATCCAGTTGACCCAGGTACTTGAACTTTCAAAGTTATCATTAAAGTCCCTTACCAAAAGTTCTATAACAAATGAAGCTGTCATGAAAAAAACTCTGTATGTGGAAGTTAAAGATGAATGGTCTCTTCGCTCTTCAGACAATAATTAACCTTGTCATTATGGAAGACAGGCTACTGGACCAGCTGTGTCTTACAGTTGTTAATTTGCCATTTTTAGTGTTGGGCTAATATTAGATTTTTAAAAAAGTGGTTGTGTATGTAAGCACTATATGTCAATAAAATAATCTCTATTGATAAGTGCTTGAACTTTGGTTTATGTAATGTGGGTCCCCTAAACCTGCCCTGTTTTGTTAGTATGAACATTTTTTTCATAGATTTTCCTTTTTTGAAAACTTACCTAAATTAACTTAGTGCAATTTTAATTTCTCCTAATAAATCAAATAATTGGTGTGCTAAAAAATTTCCAGTTTCCCCAGGAGGTTTGTGATTCCAGAATTGCCGTATTCAAAGCAACTGCCAGCCCTGAAAAAAGAACTGCTGGTCAGATAGTCAGGACAGTGCATATGGATGAAGTGCTTGGCTGTCAAGATTGCAAAATAGTGAACTGTTACCAGGATTCAGGCTTCCCAAAATGGGGATATCAAGAAACGAGTCTTTCAGTGGAAGCAAAATACCTGAAGGATGCGGAAAAKAAAATAGTTATTCCTCTTAAAAGAAGGCAAAATGTGTCTATAACTTGTTCAGAGAAAACAAGAAGATTGCATGTAAATACCTACATGTCCTCTCATGAAAGAAGATACAGCTGTACTCCTGAACAAATAAAGTCTTCTGGAAAGTGTCCTTGTGATATCAGCACTTTAGGATCTGAAGAAAAAAAAGAACTGCTTGCAACTATACAACAGGCAGTGGCTTTTGTAACTACTATGATATTTCATGATGGTTCTTCACAGCTTACCTCGGAGCAGGTTAGTAAAGGATGAGTTTTGTTTAGAGCCAGTTCTGTAGAACCATTTGAAAGTGCATGTGACTGATAAACACAAACCCATGTCCATTAGRAGCCCCTTTTGGGTATGACATACCAAAATGTACATTTAAAATGAAGTAAACCTTAATATTTAGATCACGTTTTGTTTTAAACTATCAAGTAAATCATACAGAAAATGAAACCATTARGATTTTTGTTTCAAGGCTGAAACAGTTGCATGTTCCTCTACTGTGTCAATAGCGTATGCAGTAAGTGTAGTGTACATAATAGATTTCATGTTGTAAAATATTTGGGAATTTTTCTTTATAGGATTGCACAAAATATGTCAGGAAACACTATTGTCATTATACTTAACAGGCCTCTACCTCATCAATAAAAGGAGTTGTTGTGCTGGTGAAGAATCAGACCCATCACCCTTGTCCTCCCAGTCACACTTCAACTGGTTATGCTTGGAATGCTGCTAATGAAAATGATAAATTAATTTATTTAAAAACTGAACAATCATCTCTCTGGGAACAAGAGCAGCCTCACAAGAAAGTTTCTTGGTGAGAGAATGTAGGAAAAAATAGTATTTTGCTTTACACATGGGTTTAGCCGTAATGATATTGGTTACTTAGCACAGGCCTAATCTCCTTACGTGTCAAGCTCATTGATTTCATATTGGCTGTGTTAGTTCCTTGTCAAGTCTGGGCTGATATAAACCAAATAAGAATGGACTATTCCTTTGGGCTCAGCATATCACTGACTGCAGCCCTTACAGAATTGGGTTGGGATTCTAGTAGGAGCTGTTTACATTTACCTGCAAATCCTTTATGAGCAGTTAAAGCTGTATAGCACCAAAGAATATGTTTTTTTCCAGGCTTATCTTCCTTGTATTTTTATCTTCCATTTCCTGAACTGCATTTCTTAACTAGTGCATTTTTGATGGACATTATTGTGATAAACAACCTTTCTGTGCTTTGTTAATACTTTAAATCTTTTTGGCACAGGATTTTCTTAATGGCTTTTGGCATTCCAAGTGAAGTTTTTCTAGTATTCAGTAATAATACTATGTAATTTTTGAAGCAAAGGCTTTATGTATCTATTTACACTTGGACTAAATTTTTATAAAAAGATGGACTACKTTTTAAATGTCAGTTATTACAATCAAAGTCCATTTTTATTCCTATTATCATGGAAATCATATCCCATAAAGGGAGAAWTGAGAACTGAATCTGATTCTTAGATGTAATAGTCTAGCATGTTAAAACTTCATCACAATATTTTATGAGTTTCAGTAATGRCTGTCTTACTATAAACAGCTGAATTTGGATTATTAATTTACCAAACATTCATTTTCAAGATGTTTGACTTGGTTGTTAGTTGCATCTCTTCCACTGTTTCACCGTGCCTTGAAACAAGTCACTTTGCTGACCTGTACTTCTCCAGCTGTAATACTGGGGGTACATGACAAGTAGTTTAATAATGTGTTGTCAGCTTGAATATAGGTTGTTGTGAATTGAGAATAACATTTCAATAAAGCATGTACATGTGAACAGTAAAAATTCAATAAATTAAGTTGAATAAGGATATTAGCATTTAGATGAAAACTATGGCTAATTATTTATTGTAAGAATACTGCAATTGTTTAAGAATGGATCTATAGTGCATACAGCAATACCTTGTGATCTGTGATTTCTAATCTGTCCAACCCTTGGAATTGTGGTCTCATGCTATCAAAAATGCTTTATAAAAAGTGTTACTTTTCTTTATTGACCAAAATAGAACTTTTAAAAAAAAATAACACACATAGTAAATCTGTATACRAATTTATATAAAATTGGTTATATTTATTTAAAATAGCATGAATGAAGAAATTATAGATATTTTCAAGAGGCATGGAAATACATGACAAAGATGAAGCATTTTGGATTTAAACAGCATATTAACACAGGACAGTTAAGGCAATTTAAATTGTCTAGTAACTTTTAAGTYAGTGTATTTTAGTGCTGCATCAGTTTAGCCTCTGTGATCTTATTTGGGTATATTGAAGTATTATAGGGGTGCCAGTTGGTGTTTTGTATTAAGGTTGCACTTTAACAAGAGTTAACCGAGGATTTGTTTTCTTTATGTGTATGTGATGTTTTATCCATCTGCTTGGATGTTTTAATTTCTTAGGGGAYATAGCTTTGAGTATTATTGAATTGAGAGTTTAATATTCAAATGCAATATTATTTTCTGATAGGAATAAGGAAATGTCTTGAGTTAACTGTTTAGTATTAGGTTTAAAAGAACAAAATAAATAGATTGACTAAACTTAGTAGCAGTGTAGCATGTTAATGAACTACTTCTGTGCAGGCAAGTGTTRTTTCAAATGCTACAGTGCAAAGTTCCAATAATTTGCTTCAATGCAAAAGATTTCCTGAGGACTCTACTTCAAGTTTATGGTAATGAAATCAGCTGGAAACAAGGCAAGTATCGACTCTGATCTCATCCTGTAATCTCTGTGCTTTTGGTGTTTCTGTTAAAATCACTAAGTGTAGAAGTAATTAAATTGGTGGTTAAGTAATATATTGAAAAATAGTTTAGTACCATATGAAAGAACTCCCATCTTGGGGGAGGTTGTGACCAGAGGCTTGGCATGTCAAGAGAATGTACTTCTTCTCTGAGTAGGAATCAGATAATTGAGTAATTTGAGGATAGCTTCCAGTGGAAACAGRAGCTCTCAACACAGTCCTGACTAGCTGAAAAGGTCAAACTACTTCATGTTTCATATTCCCTACAAAAAAAAAACTTCCTCTGCTCAAAGGAAAGGCTAAAATAAATCTCAGAGATACTCATAGTTGTCAGAATTAGGAATCACTTGAATGGGCCCTTGTTTTTTGATAACATCAAGTAAGACTCTTCTCTATGGATTTAAAAGCAACTGCAAGCAGCAGGCATAAGATGTAAATATAATGCCTTTCTTATTTTGTTTGCTTTTTTTTTTTTTTTCCTTTGTCTTTTTTTTTTTTTTTTTTAAGATGTAAATATAATGCCTTTCTTATTTTATTTGCTTTTTTCTTTTCCTTTGTCGTTGTTTTTTTGTTTCATGTGTCAAATAACTGTTGAGTGACAAAAGTACRTATGACCTTTCAGGAAAGACTTCCTCTGTGGAGAGTCATCAGCTTATGTTCAGCATCTGAAAGGTTTCAGTACATCACAGTGAACTGATGATTATTTGAAATCTGGTGTGAAGATCTGTACAAAAACCAGCACTGGGAATGGGAAAGAATCAGGAAAAGAAATGCCGTAATGGGACTGGCAGTAGTGACAGTTTTATAGCCTGTACATATGGGAAATACTATAGGTTAGATCCTACCTGATCCATCGGATTTGAGTCTGAAGTTTCTAGTARCCAAAAGAATTATTGTCTAGGCTTTTAAACTTTGAAACTTGATGCTTCCTCACACCTTATTTCTGCCATGAAAAAACAAACAAAGCTCCAACAAAACAAACAAAACCGCTAAAAGTTTTGGAAACAATGCATTGTGCACCCCTATGTTAATTCATATATACATTAACAAGCTCGCTCTGATTGCTAGGAAGTAAATCTCTTCCTGATCYCCAATAGCAATTCTGTGGATATCAGTCAAGTTAGTAACAACAATAACAAAATTGTACCAAAGGGGGATTCTCATAAGAAAAACTTCAGCCTGAAGTTTTTCACTTCTAAGAAGAGATGTTTTTACATTACATCTAAGGAACCAAAGGTTTACTTATATTTGAAAACTTGAAAAAATCAACCAACCAAAAAAATCCACACTAATCTCACAAAACAACCCTCTTCAAAAATATTCAGTACTGAACTTCTTCCTGTRTAGTCATTAAATGTTAGAGCTGTGAATTAAATGTTTAACATTTTGGTGGAGCAAATACTTGTCTTTCTATGATGTGTGCATGCAGGAAAGATGGACAAAACTTTAAAGCTGTTTTTCTCTATGGGAGATAATATAAGCATTTTGAATAACTTATTTTTGTAGTTGCTGATTGTGTTGTGTTAGATCCAAGGATTGCAGCATGGCTGATAAACCCCAGCGACACAGTTCCTTCCTTTGAGTGTTTAATACACAAGTATTTTGAGAAGCCTTTTTCAAAGGGAACAGAAAATACAGATACWGCCACTTTGAGAAATGTATCTGTAAGTAGTTTGTTTTCAATTGTTTGTGGTTGGCTTAAAAGGGAAGGAAATCATAATAAAATTGCTTTTGCTTAGAAAGTCACAAAAGAAGATAGATAATGCTTTTGTAATGGAAGAAAATGATTCTGTTAATGCCACTTGTTGGAAATTTAAAGAAAGGGGAGAAGGGGAGATTTCACTGCATTCTAYCAGAATGGGAACTCATTCTCCAGGAGCAGCTTTAAAATTTTCCTTCAAAACTGTAAAGTTCAGTAAAAACATTAATTAATATATAATCTTATATTTTTTTCTGTCCACCTTCCTGCAAAATGATTTCTTGCTCTCCCTTCCAAAATGCTTAATGCTGTGCTCTTCAGTTCCTGTACAGCCCATATTTAGTTAATTTTTATGAAGAATCTTGCTTAATTTCATAGCTGATAGACACCACATCATAGGCTGAGAAACAGCAGGGAGTCAAATGTGAACCTTCAAGCATTTGTATGAAAAAAATCTCTAAATTTTAATTCTCGGTGTGAGAGAATGCATGATGAACTTTTTGAGATGTTATCCCCTGCACTATGGAAATTTCTTTCTATATCCTATCAAGTGTCTTCCTATGTTCCTATTGAAATGTATGTAACAAAATATTATAAAATATTTGTATGTGTATATTGGGCCATGATGTTCTACTGTGGACACGTTGCCCTTCAGAGGCTGTTTGATAAGATCATTCTTAGAAGAATGAGAGAAGAATTCTTAGAAGAAGTAGAGCAACCTAAATGTTTTTTTTTTTTGATGCCCCTCAATTTTCAGACACCTTTCTTGTTCAGATCAAGTATTGTGCTATGGTTTTATGACTTGTAGGATACAAACCCAGAGATGTCAAGATGTCAAGTGGACTTAGAGCATGAAAAGACGTCAGTTGTATTGGCACCCACCCATCAGTGTAGACATTTCAGAGAAAACCAGAGGCAGTTTACTTTGAAACACTGGCTGTAAGCTGCAGTTGCTCAGAAGCTACTTCATGAATTAAGTTATTAGTGTAGGGAATAGACAAGCAAACAGACAGAAGTTATCTATGGTTATTTCTATATATGATTGCCCTGCTGTGAGTCAGCATCCTTAATCTTGTCTCTTCCCTTAGCTTGACTCAGTCTTTTGTTCTTCAGATATCAAATCTGTTCTTAGTTATTTTTCAACTTTGTCATCCTGATTCCCAGCTCTGAGGTAATATTGAAATTYTATTTCCTTCCTGTCCTATTTCAGGTCTAGTTTGTTTCCTTGCCCCAACCGTCTCGAGTGTCTTTATGCTGACTTGTTCACTCCAGTCCCAGTTGATGCCTCCTTGTAACATCCTGTGATTATTTCCCCCCATCCCTTATTCCTTAATTTGTCAYCTGGACCCTCACATTTCCTTCTTGGCTTTTCTCTTTGCTAAGTGAGCCCCAGTTCTTCCTGTGAATCCTGGCTCTTTGCCAGGTTTATCTCTTCAACATTCTTGCTCTGTTTTTGCTGGTAGATTCCTAACAGTTGTCTATACTGCCAGAGGGATCTGTGGTAAGTGGTATATCATCTTGTGCCTGACTACTTCAGTGAAACTTCCTCTGTCTTGTGCTAGTCTTGTCCACCCACCACAGTGCTTGGAATGACTGCTGGTTTATTCTGTAGCCCACGACTCACCCACACAGCTCTAGCACAAAGATGTGCTGCTTGCTGCTTGTCTGTATATTTGATGCTGTGCCAAAATGGTCATGATCCATATTCCCTGGAACATTTGCTGGAACAGGTGCTAAACATTATGCTGTTGATGTCATCACTGAATTTACTGGTGAGGAATCTTGGTGTTGTTTGAAGCCTGTCATTGGGCTCTCTTCCACCTCCAGAAAGGGATCAAGCAAGCTGTCTGTATTTTACAGATACCTCGTTTGTTCCAGAAGTTGGTATGGACATGGTTTCTTGGAGACAGGTTGACAACTTTTCACTGCAGTATGGACTAGACTGTTTTAGAACAAGGATCATCACCAGTGGATCTACATATTCCAGCTCTGAAGAGAGCCCTCTTCATCCTACTTTGTGGGGCCTGCTGTTTCTCAATCTTTATTAAGTTTATTTTAGTGGTCATGTTCTTGGAGCTAACCATCMTATTCTCAGTGTTTGTATGCATTTCAAAAGGGTATTCTAGCCAATTGAAGGAGGTGGCCTGGTGCTATGTGGAGCACCTGTGGAAGAGAAAGGAAGAAAGTGAAGAGTTCTGGCACAAATGTGGCAATACCTATGTGAGAAAGAAAAATGCAAGAAATTGTACCTCATTTTACAAGTAATAAGAGAATTTTGACTTCAGTGTCAAAGGCAATTTATTGATACTATTTTTCTGTATTTGACGCAATTCGATGCAAAGGAACAGGCAAAATCTGCAATGTTCATAATCTGTAGTGCTGTATTCATGATACAGGTTTGACAGAGATCTAAGAACATTTCTAAAATTTAATAGAACAGAAGCATACAGAAAAGCACATTTTTACAATTTAATAYTTCTTTAAAACAGYAGTACTCTAAATATTTTTATGTTAGCATTAAAATTACTTTATTTATTTATTTATATCAGTATCAAAACTTAGGTGTGAACTTGGAGAAGCTTTATAAYGTAATGATGGACCTTTCTCATGGTTTAAAGGTAAGATGCAAAAAGAAGTTGTTCAGAAATAACTATGTAAGTATTACCTTGAATTAAAGAGAGTTAATGATATATTTCTCAATCAAGTTAGAATGAGAGAATGCTTCAGTTCTGAGTGATTTACATTAGCAGCCAACATTTAAAATAAATTGCCCATCAGATTTGCCATTTTTTCCAGAATGGGATGGTGAGTGTCAAGGTTAGTCTTTAGAAGAAACTTTTCCTCTTCAACAGTTAACTAAATGAAGATTCTGAGAAAAGGAAATGTTCAGAATATTGTGACTTTTTTATAGCATTTTAAATACAAATGTTACTATCTAAAAAGTGTTAACTGAGGTAAAACATAGTCTAGCTATTTTTTCAATGTATTCCGTGCTTATGAAAACTCTCAGCATATCTTTTTTTCTAGACTGTGTTAACCAAGTGCTGGAACAGGCTTCCCAGAGAGGTGGTTGATGGCCCAGGCCTGTCAGTGTTAGAGGCAATTGGACAATGCCATTAATCATACACTTTAAAATTTAGTCAGCCCTGAATTGTCCAGGCAGTGAGACTAAAAGGTCGTTGTAGGTCCCTTCCAAGTGAACTATTTTATTCTATTTTACCCCTTATTGCAGTTCAGAATGCATCTCAAATAGTCTGTCAGTGTGTGTCTGTCTGTGTGAGTGTTTTCTGCCTATGATCACATACCTGAAAAAGTGCCAGAATTTAGGGATATGCTCAGGTTCTGGTGGAAGGGGCATCATAGTTTCCTTAGGATTTCCTTTGAAGTTGAAGGTAGCAAGTGTAGGGCTCAGACCATGAGGTGATGGAGCTGTATTAATCAGGATATCTAAGTGGCACAGCAGTATGGTGAACCATTCGTGAAGGGAGGCAGCAGCAACACACCAAAGGCACAGAAACACTGAGATCCAGCCTGCAAAGTTTTTAGAGAAGTCAGATTGCTTCAGTGGTTAGAAAAAAAACAGACTTTCTGTTCTCTGTAACTAATTTGGTGACATAACCCTATCAACTCTTATTTTCTTCCTAATGAAAACAAAGTTATGAATTATGAATGGTTGCTTAATTGTTCAAGTGAATAAGAGATAATTGTGTGTCCTATTATGATGAAGCCAGCTTAAAAATAAACTGTTTAGAAAAAAGAGGTATTTATATATATTTTAATTAGCTCTGTTGTACAAAATGGTTACTATTGCAAAATCCCTATTCCCCACAAATAGAAATGACAGCATTTAGATACTGTAATTTACACTGAGTAGTATTTAATGCCACTGACAGTGTTGTCATGTAAAAAGGGAATATATACAGAAAGTGAAATACTGCTCACTGGAAAATACATTCACCTGATGACACTACTGCATGTTTTAAGATCAAAATTAGCTGGTACTGAAGAATCTATTTATATCTTGCTTTACAGGCTCAAGGTTTGTGGAACTTATTTTGCACATTAGAGCTTCCACTTGTCAAAATTCTGGCAGGTAGGAAAGTTCAGTTCAAAATATGAATCTTCACTGTTTTCACACAGCTGCTGACTATGCTCAAGTGGAATGTAATTCCTCAGAATATGAAATGTTCTCTTAGCCTCATAACAGCTGTGTGAGTTGGAGTTTCCATTTTACAGTCTAAGAAGCATGTAAGATTGAAATTGTCAATTATAAATGTTCTTAATGTAAAATTGTATTTGCAGTGATGGAAACACACAAAATATATGTGAACAAACAGGAACTGAAAAAAACATCAGAGATTCTAGGGGTAAATTTTTTATTTTGTTTTCTCTTGGAAATTGTATAGTATCATCTTTGTGCTTTTACTGAGGATAACATTAAAAAGAGAAGGAACAGTTGTCACACTTTATGTAATAGTTTGGGGGTTTTATTATATTTTTATAAATATAAATAATTATATTTACATTTTAGAATACTTCACTGTTTATTTAGGCAAGTGAAAAAGAGACATTTGCTTTATCACCCTTGCCCCAGAACTGAAATGGCATTGCAAAATGCACAGATCATTTGGGTTATGTGTTGTAGAGTAAAAATGGTAATGACTCCTTCTGAACCTACAGTTTTCAGTAACAATCTTCCTGAGAAGTGATAGACTTCTCTCCCTCTCTTTGTGAACAATACTCTTTAAATGAGTGTTCTTTGATAAAAATAGCTACAAGAGAACCCCATTTTGTAACATGAAATTTGACTAGATAATCATAGTGGTTTGACAGATTACTAATTTATCAGAATAATTTGCATAGCTCTGTTTCTCTCAGATCTCCACAGTCTTCAGTAACTTAAATGCTTTAACCACAAATGTTGGTACTTATTACTACATTAAATCCCCTTCCCAGATCATGAAGAAATAGAAATAAAAGAGTATATAAGCAATCTACTTAACCAAATGTTGATAACCAGAAATGATTATGCAATATCAAGTACTCMATTTTAAAATAAAGGTCCAATATTCTCATTAACCTTGGAAGAAGCAGGTATTGAAGAGAATAATAATGTGAACAGAATAATTTTGATGTACTAATTTAYAGTTGCGGCTCAAAGAGCTTGAACAGGAGGCTCATGAGGTTGCTGGAGAACGCTTCCTTTTGACCAGCAGTTGTCAACTCCGAGAGGTAGTATTTGTACTACTATTATTACTTAAGGTGTAAGTTCTATAAATTTATTGATACAGAAGAACTGTAAAGCATATATATCCTTACAACTTCTGAATGATTTTCTTCTATATTAATTATGTTATTTTCTGATTTTAACAAAGCACATATCAGTTTTTTGTAAATATGACGATGTTGAATAATCTRTATTTGAATGTATTTACATAAATTATGCATTTGGTTTTAGAAAATGTATTTTGTTTCAGTTGCTCAAAAATAAAGATTATTGGTCTTTTCAATTCTGTGTTAGTTCTCTTTGCTGCAATGTGCTCTTTTTACCTTGAAACCTGATTTCTGTTTAAGTTCAAGTGCCGAATAATTTTCCTTTCTATTTCAGCACTTGAAACACTGAAAGATTTTTTGTCTTTTTCTTACTGTAGGTACTATTTGATAAGTTAAAACTGCATAYGCTGTGTGAGAAACTTCACAGGACTGAAATACAGCAGCTCGTATCCACCTCAGAAGTTGTGGTGAGATGGGGAAGGGTTTTAAAACCAGCTGCATGATTTGGTAAAACTTCTAAGTTATATTCCAGTGAAATGGTAATTTGTCAAAAAGTTTTCCTGACGATCTTGATTTATTTTTGTGTTGTACTGTTTGTGCTACACTTGTGCCAGAAAAGAGAGTTGCACTCCATCATGGGGAAAAACAAASCAGCTACTGAAGGTCTCCCCTGGGCCTGCATTTCWCCAGGCTAAACACCCCCAGCTCCTTCAGTTGTTCCTCATCAGACTTGTGCTCCAGAC